TGCTAAACACCTCTGGGAACTCCTTCAAGACTGTTGGAAAACCATTTCAGGTGACTACCTCTTGAAGCTCATGGAGAGAATGCCAAGAGTGTGCAAAGCAGTAATCAGAGCAAAGGGTGGCTATTTTGAAGAAACTAGAATATAAAACATGTTTTCAGTTATTTCACCTTTTTTTGTTAAGTACATAACTCCACATGTGTTCATTCATAGTTTTGATGCCTTCAGTGAGAATCTACAATGTAAATAGTCATGAAAATAAAGAAAACGCATTGAATGAGAAGGTGTGTCCAAACTTTTGGCCTGTACTGTATATAGAGGCATGTGCCCCCAGAAGAGCTTAAAAGTCAAATTTGCACAAGATGGAACAGTCCAATTTTGATTCCCCCCATTCTCTCAGTCACCTCTCGCTCATGTACAGACACACACGAAAGTGAGCAGTTAGCTGTACCAACAAACTAGCTGGGTATCGGCTAAACTGTACCATTGATTGAGGGGGAAAAAAACAGTGATCTTGGGAGACTTGTGGTTCTGCTTCAACTGTGTGAGACGACGACGGCCAACCAAAATTTCTGACATGTCAGAAATTCATCTGAACGTCTGATCGGGAGAAGCTACGCAGTCTGCGCTCTCCTTTGTACACTGCATGGCCAATGGTACCCAACAAAGCTGATATTCAGCCTGGCTCTAAAATGAGTCGTGCAGCTCAAAAATGGGGTCAGAAACATTTAAACTGTACAGTGTATGCAGTGTATACTGAAGTTGTAGTATATAAAAAGAAAGCCAACATTATCTGTGTTAGCCACAATAATCTAAAGATAATCAATTTTATGTTTAATTCTGCAGGAAGTGATTTTGTCACTAAAGGTTTTCCTTCATTTTATCCATATATCTGTCCCACATTATAATTTATTTCTAATTAATTTTACTGTCATTTCACAGTAATAACCTTGAAACATTTTCTCCCTGAACAGTTTTTAACAATGTCTGTACATAAGCAAACTTGTTTATGTGCATGTGCTGTCACATAAAGAAACACACACACACACACACACACACACACACACACACACACACACAGTGGGGAGGGTGTATATTGTGTGTGAGACTGATGCCCCTCTGCTCTGGTTTTTCATTAAAAAGCCTTTGTGGTTACTAAAAAGCCTCAAAAGACGAAGTGAGTGCAAAATGCTGTTCGTTCTCCTCATGGAGGCTCCGCCAGAGCTATTAGTTAACAGGCAGATGGGGCCGGCTTCAGAGCATCAGGCACTAATACTGCGACCTGCGTGACTGAGAGCAGGAAGGGGAAAGATATGAAGAAAATGTGTGTGAGAGTGTGTATATTAAGAAATACTAACAGTTGTAGGCGAGGAGGTGCAAATGAATAAAGGTGTGTGCAGTTGCACAAATGGCCTGTGGTTATAACTGTGTTGGTGAGAGAATGATAGAGATGAGAGGAGAGGGGGGAGGGGGATAAAAAGAGGAGGGTGGAAATCAATTCTGTGAAATACTGATTGTTCTTTTGCTGGTGTGTGAGGAATTAAGTGAACAACTAGCTTTTCTACACTCATTTTTGTCTTAGGCAAGTGTGTGTGTGTGTGTGTGTGTGTGTGTTTGTGAACACCAAAAAGGTAATGGTAGCGGGTGGGGGGGGGGGGGGGGAATTGATTCACTTAAGTACCACAATTTAGGTTTGTACTAATTTTTAATGCCTTAATCGTTATCATTCAAATGTTGCCACGTCTGGATTTCTGTGATTCCCCGTATCTGGGGCTCAGCCAAAAGGTCATTTCCCACCTCCAGCTCGTTCAAAACTCAGTTATTATTGTTGTTATTACTGTTTTAGTCTTAATTGTGTGTACTATTTTATCTTGTCCTGTAAAGCACTGTGTGTTTTGAAAAGTGCGATACAAATAAGTTTAATATTATAATTCATTAGTGTATAATTTAAGGGTAACTGTGCTTAAGTATTTCCACTTTCTGCTACTTCCGCTCCACCGCATTTCAGAGGGAAATATTGTTCTTTTTACTGCACTACATTTATGCCACAGCTTTATTAACAAGTTACTTTTCAGATCTATTTTATGCAGAAAATGTATGATCAGTTAAAATGAAATGTTATTGCTACATTTTAAATCATTTTAAAAAACGTCCATCTTAAGTAAAATGTTCTTTCCTCTATCGCCTACTGCATCGTCATATAAGTGCAAAGTCCACACACGAGAGATCTATTTTCACTCCAGCTCAAAAAATCACTATATCAGCCACCATATAAGTTATCAGTGAATTAAAAAAATAAACATTTATCTATTTTTGTTTTGTTTTTGTTATCAAAATATCCAGATTTCTTCAACTATGGCTCTGTACCAGCCATCATATGACGCCTGTCCGGTCCTGTTGTAACGAGATCTTGAATAACAGAGGCAGGGCTGTACTGAACTGTGGCTTCTTGTGAAGTTTTGTTCCTCAGAAAAGTAACTTGAGCATCATTTTATGTGAAAACATAAAATAAGCATTTCACTGTGCAGCAGAAAACTTGTGAAATAAACAATAAACATTATGTGCCTTCTTTCTCTCTCCTGTTATCCCTGCAGACGCTGGGGGCCCCAGAAAGAGAACACAGACACCACAGAGGTAAATAAATCTGTAACGCGTCCCATGAAAACAAAGCTCCAGTAAATAAAAACAAAGGAGAATAAGGAGTTTGGGTGCTTAAATAAACTGTGATTACACATCTAGCACACTGTTTATGTGTGTGATAGAGAGGTGTGGGCGCCTGGTTGGCTGGCTTGAGTTTCTACTCTATCAGTGAGAGCCAAGATGGCAATTAATCATCATTCATTAATTATTGACGGACAGTTGCCTTGGCAGAACCCACAACTGACTGATACTTTCTGGGGCGGGTTAGCCTCCGTCAGGATAAACCACACTGATGGTTGCATATTTTGAAAAGGAAGGCAGACTAAATTATATAAATAATAGAACAAGACTAAATCAAAACACCGATTCAGAAACCAGGAACCTGCAGTGATTTTCTGAGCTGTCTGGAAAGCTACTTTGAGAGAAAATGGAGATGAAGGATGCGTGTGTTTGTGTCTCAAAGGAGCTGCTGCAGAATCACAACGGATGCAAAGCGGCTCACCAGGTACACATTATTCATTATTATGTGTGACGGGATGCTAATGCGGTATCCACTGACTGGGTCTGCAGATAATGCTGATAACTTAGAAATGCTAATATACAAAAACAGCCGGTAAGCTGCATCTAATGCTGCAAATATCCAGTAGACTGTTGCACCTGTACTTAAATTAGAGTGTACAGTCTGTAACTCTTAACACTGAGACGATTTTTGATTAGTGTGATTACTGTGTGATTTCTGGCTCATCTTAAAAGGTAGAGAAGGTAACCAGACCACTAGCCTATATATTAGCCCTGAAAGTATAAATGTAGCCCTCTATGGCCAATAATCTATTTCTTGCGCCTGACTTAATGATTTAGTAGCAAACTTACTTGACAGCAAGCAAAAATCTAGAGCAAAGTGTGAGTGTTACTTTAGAATTTGTCTTTAGCAAAAGATCAGAGTTCTCAATCTCAACCCGTACCTGACGGATCCCAATAAGCCTGACAGGTCGGACCAGGTTTGGCCGGAAAATGTGCACTAATTTATTGGGTTGGGCAGGGCTCAGGCTGTGGGAGAATTGTTATTTTTTTAAAAAATAAATAAATAAAAAATATTAGAAAGTGAGCACTCTGCACTTCATATATTTAGTTATTATTATTATCTAAAATGTAATATATATTATAGATATTATATACTGATTGATTGACCGAACAGCTCCTAAACCGCTTCATCCATTTCAGCACTGGACAGCAGCTCCCTCTCCTTCTGGCCCTGCAGGCAGGGAGAGAAGGAGAGGGAGCAGCCAGGCTGTGTCCTGGCTCACTGTCATTCCTCCCAGCCGGAGCAGGGAGCTTTTCTGGCGGGGAAATATAATGTGTAGAGTCAGCAATCCACTGAGCTGGTCCATTTTCCGCTGGAGACACGCATCGCTTGCGCCGCCACACAGTGGTTTGCTCCGGGCATTAGAAACTGACTAGTGCTTTTTGGTGGGGTCGGGCTTGGTCTCAGTAATTTATGTGATGATCTCATACAGGCTGGGTTAGGGCTTCAACTCACACGGGTCAGTATGGTTCAGGTTGTAATTTTTTCAGCCTGTTGAGATGCTAAAAGAGATGCACATGGCAGTGGAGATTATCTGTCCAGTTGCCTTTATCCCCAATACTGTAGGTAAGCCAATGTACATGGTATGATAACCATCAATATTCATTCAGTATATGGTTTTTACATATACCGTTGAGGTTTCGGTATTATAGGCCATCAAAAAAATGGCATGAGGGTGCGAAGAAGGACTAAAGCGAAAGCCAAATATGGCTATATCAGCAGCTATTGCTGGTACTTTTGAGCAGAAAGGTGTGGATGCGGGAGAGGAGTCCGGAGTGGTTGAGTTGCGATTTGCAAGGTTTCACAGAGGAACAGTTAGTCCAGACCTTAGGATGTCCAGGGCTACATTCCAATATCTCTGTCAGCACCTCATGCAAGCTGTCCTGGTCAGAAAGCGTCTGGCAGTCGGGCTCTATTGGTAGATGACTGGGGTAGCCTACCACAGCAGTGGTACGGCTACAGCAGCCTTCTGTTAAGTAGGACTTGTAAAAAATATATCTGTATGGGAAAAACACGCGGGACTTGCAATGTGACCATGCTGATGGCAGTTGCATGGCCAGTGATTAGATTTGTATCAGATTTAGGACCATGTATGAAAGTAGCCCAGGTCTGACTGAAAAATTAATGATTTCTGTGTTCTCACTGGTTTGAAAAAATCAGATCCATGTCACATTAAGAATAAATAAATGGGCCGAATTTCCTTGTGATGGGAACAAGTCTATGTTTATTTGGTTCAGGCTGCAGATATGGTATGTTAAATTATGTATGAGTGAGTTCCTACCTTGGTGTGTGCAATGAGCAAACAGTTGGAGTGCTCGTGTTCGCAGGCGATCTCATACTGAGGCAACATGTCAGCCAGCTGCTGGACGAAGGCGACCACTTCTTGGTGCCAGGGCACGTTAGCCATGGTCAGACTGCTGGCAGAGCTTTCCCCACAGTACGTCACTCCCTGCATACACAAAAGCACACAATTAGAAACACACACACATACACAAAACAGGCTTTACAGTGCATTCACCCATAGAAGAGAGCATCTCTGTGAGGGCTAGGGCTCACCTGTACTGGACTTTTGGGGATGACAACAACATTTATAATTTTGCTACTTAAGTGATAGATATTTTTTGGCATTAACTTTTAGAATCAAAGATAACAGCAACAGCAACCATAATAGCACATTTTGATAATTAAATCTAATGACATAGATATATACTATAAAAGCATATTCTGTGTCATGGTGATTTGTCTTGCTGTTGACCACATGTTGTAGCTGTCCTCCAGGTGTGTTTTGTGATAGAAAATGTGTGTGTTCAACCACATTGTTGCACGCTCTTCAAAACATTTTTTCCCCACTTTCTTGCAGAGCATCAGGGAACTGCCTTGCTAGATCTTTAGCAAAACATTTTGTTAGTAAATGTGAGATGTTAGCAAATGTCTGCATCTTCACCAGCACTAGAAACAGGGAGGTAAGTTTGGTGACGCTGCGAGGGGCTGTTAGGATTGGTGAAGCTCGCCGGACACTGCGATGATTGGTCAAATTTGCATTAAAGTTGCGGTGATTGGACAAAATTGCAAGGTTTGGTAGTATCTGCATTGTTGCGATCGCCACATCACAACATCCTGGAAGGACTGCATTATAAACAAACTTAAAAAATAAAAATTGGCTCAGTCTTTGGACAAATTTGGTGACTTGGTATCTGGTGTCATTGCTACTTGGCACTGTGAAGTTTAAACACAACAGTTATGTCCAGTGACTGACAGTGAGTCATAATGCACTCTACCGAGGGCTTTACCCTCACTGGTAGTCAATAACAGCTCACACTGAAGTAGTTTGGCAAGGTGATTATTTGGGCTGCAATCTGACGTAACCTGCCCTTACGGTAAAAAAAACAAGGCATCTTGTGCTGCAGCATGATGAGCGTAAATGACTAATAGACTCCCACATGAAATGCAGGAATTCATTAATCTAAATTATTGGATCACGTAAATTAAAGCTTTCATGTGAGCAACTTAATTAAAGTAATGAAATTAAAGAACTGCTTCTACTTCAAAAAACATTCTGGTAGTCTGGAGTGTTCACTTGACAAAAAGGCTTTATACACAGCAACAACTGCTGATTATCACCAGTAAGACGGAGCTGACACATATTTTTCCATTCAGCGGGTGTGAGAAATGAAGTAGGAAGTGGAAAACCATCTGGTCTTGGCCATAAAATCAATCAAACAGCAGGCTGGACGCTGAGTGTTTTCTGATCAATAGTGGCAAATCTGCGCTGTGGTTACAAGCGATGAATGAAGAGAAGCACTGAGAGGAGAACAACAGCTCCCTGTGGCACAGACAAACTATTGATGAATTGGGCTGAGAGCAGGAAGGTGTGAGGGAGTCATGAAGGGAGAGCGTCATCGATGTCCACGTGGTATGTAACGCAGGTATCTGCAGCAGGCTCCAAATCAGTACCTTCCAGTACAAGAGCTGCATCAGCTATCAGATTGATCATCCTATTTTTTTTTAACCTGAGCAACAACATAGTCAAGAGAATTTGGACTTTTCAGTTTCAAACCCTAAAAATATCGTACAGCTGTGAGCAGATAGTTTCTCAGAGCCATCAAACCTGGAAGGAGAAACAAGGGAGGCAGAGTGGTGTCCTTAAGATTTCAGGAGTGTTTGGGGCAATAATTATGAGGAAAATGTGGGCGGAGGATGCACACGTTTTTGGAATGAAAGCACTTTTTAATACCAGAAAGGGGCTCTCACAGATGCATCACAGCAGCAGCCCTTCTCCCATTTTTGTCTTTACACAGCTGAGTGATGAGCGAGATGGTAAAGCTGACCTAACAGTGAGAGGGATGACATGCAGCAGGCGTGTTCCTTTGCTAACACAACTGCAAGATGATTCCTGAGACTTTTAAACCAGCAGTAGTTTTGTATGAGGGTAAAACCAAGTATGTCCAGTTTACCATATCATAGAGCGCTGGAGAAATGTCACCACAAAGTGTTGCATGGCTGTTCAACCATTCAACCACTTTCAGGCCAGACACCCCTCTCTATAGCAACACTTTCCAGCTCCTCCTGGGGGATACTGAGGCATTCTCAGGCCAGGTGAGATATATAATCCCTCCAGTGTGTTCTGGGTCTAACCCAGGGCCTCCTAGCACTTGGGCATGTCCGGAAAACCTCTAACACAAGGCTGGCCTTTTTGGACACAAAGGAGCAGCGGCTCTACTCCGAACTCCCTTCAGATGTCTGAGCCTCTCACCCTATCTCTAAAGCTGAGCCCTGCCATCCTACAGAGAAAACTTAATTTGGACCACTTGTGTCCGCCATCTCATTCTTTCGGACACTACCCAAAGCTCTAAACCATAGGTGAAGGATGGAACGTAGATGGACAGGTAAATTGAGAGCTTTGCTAGCTCAGCTCCATCTTCACCACAATGGTCCTGTGCAATGAGCGTATCACCACTGACACTGCAACAAACTACTGAGGTACTGACTCTAATCCCGACCTCTTCACACTGAAACCAGTGTGTGCTGGAGGTCATGGTGTGATGACACCAACAGAACCACATTGTCTGCAAAGAGCAGATATGTTATTCTGAGGTCAACCCCAAAGGTTGTATCATTACATACTGCAATATTAACTATGTGAACAATACAACACTGAACTGACAGTGGGAAAAGAAGTTTTGAAGGATGTGTGTATATGTGTGAGTTTGTGCATATTTAATATTCTTTCTGCAGTTAGTGCTGCCTTAGTGAATTATGGTGGGCGTTCTTTAGGCTGCACATACTGTAGCTGCCCTCTATAAAAGTTATATGGTGTGTGCTTATAGACCAGGGAGCATTGCAGGTGTTTTCTAACCTCTGTGTTCAAGTAACACACGAGTACAATGTTTTGTTTGGGATCCTCAGTAACATTGTGTTATCATGTCCCTTTGGTGCAAACATGCTGAATTTAAATCAGTCAAATTTGTTTTACTTGATTCAACATTTGTTACCAAGTTTCAGTCTTTATACACACAAACATGCACACACACTCACACAAACACACACACACACCACCTGTGTGTCAGTGTGCTGTAATAGAGCCAAGGCAGCAGCTGCTACAGCGCTACCGTAATTCTCTGAAGTGCTGGCCAGGAACACTGTCTGATCCTCACCCAGGTATCGCATGGAAGAAAAACAAGAGCAACCGTCTGCGTGTGTATGAGTGTGTGAGCATGTCTGAGGAAGAAAATGTTTGTGAGCTTGTTACAAATGAAGTCAAGCATTTAGCAATTCTCTCCTGTGTCTTTGGTAATGGAATAATCACCAAAAACAGAAGCAAACAAAAAGCTCTGCCCTGTACATGAACCCCTCCAGGATGGTGCGACGTCACGATTGCAACAATTAATGCAAATTCAACCAGTCTCCCTTAATTCTGCATGACCCTGCAGTTTTCTCCAACAGCAACATTTCCGCAAATGTTACCAATCATAGCAGTCCAAACTGTGCAAGACACTTCCCTGATGTTCTGCACGAGAGTAGGCTAAAAATGTTTCGCACTGCACGCCACACTGTGATGTAACACAAACAACATCAACTGACAAACACCTTTCAAGCCCAAAACACATCTGGAGAATGACTGAAACTCGTTTACAACAAACATGACAAATCACCATGACAGAGGCTGCTGCATCCAGAAGTATCGCACGTGCTGAAAGACTCAAGGTGAAATGAAATATGCAGATTAGTATAATAACATAAATTAATATAAACCACAAACTCAAAAGAGTGAGTTTTTTTCCCACTGGAACAAGTTGCCTTTGATTTAAAACACAAAACAAAACAAATAAGCCTAAGACACTGCAACATGCATTGCAATTTATTAGAAAAGCTGCTGTGAAAATAGCCATTTCAGACTGCAACAATCCTGAAAAAAGCCCACGAAATCCTGAGGGGACTGGTACTGTATATGTAAAGATACCTGCATAAGCCCACTGTTCCAGTGAGCCATTCATGATCAGCCCCTGCTCTACAGCTTCACGGCTCACATACTGTATTCATATTCTTGTGACTATTAGCTGCTCTCAAAAACATTGTTTGCTTAAAAAGAATCTTTGATGAAAAGCACTGAAACCAATTAAAGATCTCATATGACACTATATGTCTCATAAGCTGATATTATTCTGATAACTCTGGTTAAAATTCTGGTTGTTGTATGTCAACTAAACAGAAAGAATGCTGTAGTTATTATTTCATATCTCTCATTTACCTACTTGAATCATTTCAACAGTGTTAAAGGATAACTTGTGTGACGTCAGCTCTCGCGAGATGACGTCACACACAACCGGGAGGAAGTGAAGGGTCAGGGAAACGCTCAGTATGCTATTTACAGAGATAGCATTGGTGATCTGAACCCGTCAGTGGCGGAAAAAAAGCACTTTTAATGCGCAAACTTATACGGGACGCATTTGCCCCCATATCTACCTCGCGGCTGCCAGTTGCATTGGCCTCCCTCAATACTGAACCAATATTAAAACGAGTTGTACCTATGAATCATACGCACACATACACATGGGGAAATAGAGCCCTGGTTGAATAATACCGAAGTTATCCTTTAAAACTGTTTTATGAAGCCCTCCCTCAACACTATTCTAACTTGTGCAAATAATCTTTATGATGCTGAACTCTGGGAGGTTAAACAGTTATGACCACTGAAAAACCCACATGGCCAGGGAAGATGAAATATCAAATGTTTCACCAGGAGCAAGACATCAGACCTTGACCAGTCTGATGGCTGAGGCCAGTTTCCGAAATCAAATAAGAACAAATCTATACGTATGAGAGAAGTGGTTCATCTTAGAAAACAGAAGACTTACTCCTCCTGTCGTATTTACTTGCTGTCCTCTGTGGCAGGTTATACAAGAAACATTCTTACTACTGATCTCTTTCTCCCATCGGCCCAGCTATTTC